TAACTGTTTATCTTGTGATGAGTTTACCCGAATTTTCTTCTAACCTTCTTGTTATTTCTCTATCTGCCGTCTGTTTGTTTTAAAATTCCTCCAGTGTATCTGTATATTAGTTTAACTTGTGTATACCCAAATTTCATCATGACATCCCCAATGGTGCCCACAAAGTGAGGTTTACTGAGAACAAAGGAAAACTCTTCGTATGCATGTTTTTGGAGAAAAAGAGGAACCGTAGAAAGATGGTTTCTTTTATCGTGACCGTGTAAAGCAACCCAGGAACTACACGTCCGTACCCTTCCTTAATTTTGAACTGATAGGCTAGCGGAAAGGCAAGTAGTTAACACGATCCACCGCCAACTCTTACGCTACTCTTATCTAACCGAATAGTGGGATTTCACCGTCACTTTTTGACGCACCTATGACTTCAAAGTGGGGAACGAGACGTGAACCATGAAACCTCGGATTCACTGTTCATGCTACTAGGCTACACTCAAATTTTGGTGGAAAGAAAAGTGACACAATTTCAATAGATTATCGGTAATCTTATTTTCCGACCGCCAGTGGCTCATCGGTAAGTCTGCAGACTTACGACGCTAAAATTCTGGTTTCGACACCCGTGGTGGGCAGAGCACAGATAACCCATTGTGCAGCTTTGTGCTTAACTACAACCAAACTAAATTATTTTATTTTCTTAGTTACATCAGAGTTACATAACCAGGTTACAGATGTTGGAGAGGGGATACAATCCTTGTGTATCTTCTAAAACGTTTGATGTGCTGGTATGATATTATATGCTAACATAATATATAGATTTGAGCCTAAAAAGTTAGTTTTGATTTAAGCCCTATGCGACATTTAGACGTATTCCAATTATTCCAAATGGTATTGGGCAATCTGCTAATGACCAAATAATGAGACATATGCTAAGGTTTGGAGGAAGACTTCTAGCAGGTCTTAGAGGGGATGGGTACTCCTGATGATATCAGCAATTCTTTATCTCTAACAGAGAGCGAGAATAAGCGATAGCGTTAGGCTTCCTGCGCTTCTAGTTAAAAGCAGCTTTGCATGTTGTCAAGCATGACAACAGCTGACAGGTTCGGTTTTTGCCATTATGTTTTTACAAACATTATGACATAATACCTTTGAAGGAATTATCATTATTCTATGAAAATGGCTTAACCTCATGGGTGACCGCTGGTTTTGGATCATTTTCATGCATTAAAAAATCAATTATTTAGAAACGTTTGTGCTTTCTCATTTTATTTTATTTGTATCGGAAATGTTTTTCTCAGTGTAATAATCACTAGACAAATAAACGTTATATTTGAACCTCATTGATAGGAAGTAAAACAGATTGTCGGTTCGTATGTTGTAATTTATCAGGCTCAAAAGGTTAAGCATGCGCTCTAATGTATAGTATCCTACGGATTTAAAACTCGAAGATGATATGCTGATACTTAGAAAATCCGTAAAAAAAAGGACACAAAAAACAACATAAGTCTATATACTATTCGTGAACCATGACAGACACCGACGTCATGATAAAAGCAAAATCATGTAGGACATCATTATTCAAAAATCTTCAGACTACAGCTCACTGTTCACTAGAAATGTCTACGTACATACTTCAATTCGCAGTTCCCAAGTATTACTATTTTACAAATTTAGGTTAAAAGGAAAATATTTGATACTTTAAATAAATATTAGGCTTAGTTTTGTACTTTTTAAAATGTCCGATAACATGATCTAAACGAAATCACTGTAGTAAATTTAATAAATATAAGGATTAATAAGAATAAGTACTTAACATGTTAACTATAGCGCTTGACTTACTGAGTAAAAGAAGGTATGTATATCATAGATATTATCATGAAAAACTGCTGACATCAGTTAAGTTAAGAGATGCAACAGGTAGTCTAATATCATTACACAATTTAAAACAAATATCTTTTAATTTTAACGGACATTCACTATTACATGTTCCACATACAGGATTATTTTGTAAATAGAAATTTAACAAATATGAGTATATTTTTGGAATTTTATCGAGCTTCGTGATTATACATAACGCAGTGAAATTTGTATAAAATATCGAATATTTCTTGTTATCTATCTATCTATCTATCTATATATATATATATATATATATATATAAGGGCACCAGCTTGTAGC